TAGTTTACTCTTTTTTGTTTTGTTTTGTTTTGTTTTGATTTTTGAGACAGGGTCTCACTATGTAGTTGAGACTGATCTGGAACTCACTATGTAGCCCAGGCTGGCCTCATCACAGCGATCCTCCTGCCTCAGCTTCCCGAGTGCTGGGATTACAGGCGTGCGCCACTACACCCGGCTAAATTAGGTTACTCTTGATATGCATACTTGAACTTCTTGTAAACAATGAACACTTCCAACTAATAAATTTTTAAAAGAATGATAAACCACAATGTACCAAAGAGTAATCTTAGTCAGAACGGTGACGCAGTTCCAGGTCAGTCTCAACTACATTGTGAGACCCTGTCTCAAAAGACCCTCCCCCACTTCCCCCAAAAGACTAATCTTGTAATTCAGCTCTCGTTTTCATCTTCCAAATTAAAAACAAATACAGGGCCAGGGACTTAGCTCAGCAGCACCTACATTGACAAGTGAGAGGCCCTGAGTTTAATCCCCAGTACCAGAAAAAAAAGAAAAAGAAAAACAAATACAAAGCCAGGCATGGTGGCACATTACTGGAGGCCAAGGCTGAAGGATCACAATTCAAGACCAGCCTGAGGGCAAGGATTTAGCTCAGTGGTTCTGCTGCCTGCCTCAGCACAAGGACCCAAGTTCTATCCCTGGTGCCTCCCCAAAAAGATGAAATCACAAGACCAGCCTGAGCCACAAAGCAAGGCCGTATCAAAGAAGAAAAGAAAGAAAGAAAAAACCTAACATTGTAGTGCATGGCATCTATAAATGCCTGTAATCCCAGTGCTCTGGAAAGCTGAGTGAGGATGGAGGATGGAAAATTCCAGCACAGACTAGACAACTTAGCAACACCTGTTGGGGGAGTGGAGGGGCTTATGGATATCCACTTTTTTTTTTTTTTTTTTTTTTTTGGTACCAGGGATTGAACTCAGGTCCTTGTGCTTGCAAGGCAGGCAGTGGAACCACTGAGCTAAATCCCCCGCCCTAGATATCCACTTTTTATACAGCTCCTCTCTGACCACTCACAAACAGAGATCCCAGATTTTCTTCCTCAGCACCTCCTGTAATGTGGCCCTCCCAGTGAATGCTGTTCTCCACTCTCCCTGAGTCAAGATCAGGAGAGCAGAGGAACCATCACTATTCCTGTGGTTCATAACTGCTACTGAAATAACTAAAATACAGATGTTCAAGCTCTACTTCAGGCTTCACTAATGAATCATCTCTGGACACAGAGGCCATGTGTTCTATGTTCCCAGCCTCTGTGCTCCTTAAGCAAGAACCTTATCTTTTATTCAACACTATACCTGGGTAAGGCACAATTAACATACGCAGAATAATGTTGTGGAAATAAGTTTAAACTGTAGATTAATGTGTGTGGCTGGTTTTGATAAATTACCTAGCTGGCCTAGGGATTTAGCTCAGTGGTTCCGCCACCTGCCTCGAAAGCACAAGGACTCGAGTTAGATCCCCAGTACCAAAAATAATAAATTACCTAGCTATTAGTGGTTACCTTAGAAGACCACTTTTTTTTTTTTTTTTAATAGCACTGGGAGCCAGGCGTCATGCCACACACACCTGTAATCCCAGCACTGAGGAAGCTGAGACAGGAGAATCGCTGTGAGTTTGAGACCAGCCTGGGCTATGGGCTACACAATGAGTTCCAGGTCAGTCATAACTACATAGTGAGACCCTGTCTCCCCAAAAAAAATACCCAACAGCACTGGGCAGTGAACCCAAGGCCTCCCACATGCTAGGCACATGCTCTTTCTTCAAGCTATACCTATGTGCAGGCCCAGAAAGCCTTTTCTTGGGGGACTGGGTGGGTGGGGAATGGGGACTGAACCCAGGGACTTTGCAATAAGCTACATCCCCAGCTGTCTTATTTTTATATTTTTGGTAGTGGGGATCGAACTCAGGAGCTTGTACTTGCAAGGCAGGCAGTGGCAGAACTACTGAGCTAAATCCTCAGCCCCATTCCCAGCTGTCTTTGTTTTGTTTTGTTTTTTTGAGACAGGGTCTCACTAAGTAGTTCAGACTGCCCTGGAACTCACTATGTGGCCCAGGCTGGTCTGAACTCACACAGATCCTCCAGCCTCAGCCTTCCAAGTGCTGGGATTACAGGCATGTGCCACCACACCTGGTTCCCAGCTGTCTTAATGGGATAACATATATAAAAACCCTGTAATTGAGCAAATTCTTTTACTGCTCAATTCTACTCATTCCAAGAAAATAAGAAAACACTCAAAAGATTGATCTTTGAGAATATTTTTAATGATGTTTATAGAAGCTAGACAGTAAAGCAAACAAAATTAGAAACTAAAAAATAAAAGGGCAGTAACAGATTGATTAGGTTTAAAAAGGTTTAATCTGGGGCTAGGGATTTAGCTCAGTGGTTCTGCCACCTTCCTTGCAAGCACAAGGTCCCAAATTTGATCCCAACACCCCTCCCCAACAAAAAAGGTTTAATCTGTAATCACTAAACTTCTGAAAAAGTGTTACTTATTGACAGGATAAAATTTTCAGAGATTTTTTTTTCTCTGATTTTTCACCCTCCTTTTTTTCCAATTAAAACAGAAACAGAACCATACAATGTAATTCCATTGTCTTATAAAATATGCATAGTGTCAAGCATGGTGGTACAGGCCTGTAATCTCAGCTGCTCCATGGTTGAGGCAGAAGGATTTAAATTCTAAAGCAGCCTAGGAAAATTATCAAAACCTTATCACAAAATAAAAGATAAAGAGTTGGAGATGTAGCTCAGTAGTAGAGTATTCCTGGGTTCAATCCCCATTACCACCCCCCCAAAAAAAAAGAAAGAGGAGGAAAAGAAAATATGCAGTTATCCAGAGGGTCTGAAAAGATAACTTCAGTTCACATCTTGTTCTAGAGCTCCCTAAGTGGAAGGCATATCCTATCTTTTTTTTTCTTACCTAATCAACTTTTCTTACAACAGGGATATATTACTTATGTAATATTTTAAATTTAAATCTATTAACACAGCTGGGACCCAGAGCACTAAGGAGGCTGAGGCTAGAGGATCACTGAGAGTTGGAGGCCAGCCTGGACTACACAGTGAGTTTAAGAGCAACATGAACTACAACGTGAAACCCTGTCTCAAAACGAAACAAACAAAATCTACTAACATAAATAACTGACAACAAAACTGAATCCTAGTTTAAATCTAATAGACATACCATTTGGAGAAAGATGGTCTAAGATATATCTATCCTTTGATTTTACTGATACTTCTAAAGATGAATTTTCAAAAAGGGGCACATAATGATGTAGACTAGAAAAACTTTTCAAAAATCAGGCATGTAGGGCCAGGGATTTAGCTTAATGGTTCCACTGCCTGCCTTGCAAGCGAAAGGACCTGAGTTCGATCCAGGTACAAAAAAAAAAAAAAAAAAAGGAATGTAAACATTGAGA